CTCTCTCTCTCGCGCTCGCTCTCTCTCTCGCTCTCTCGCGCTCTCTCTCTCGTGCTCTCTCTCGCGCTCACTCTCTCGCGCTCTCTCTCTCTCGCTCCCGCATTTGAACAGTCAATAGCAAATACTTAAACTAATAACAAAACAGTAGCTGATTCAGAAGCGCCAGATTGTCATAGCACAGTCAGAATTACCTCCTCTCCTAGGTTCACGGAACGGTCGTCCATAAAATGCATTGCTGTTCTGTTGTAAGTGATCCAAATAAAGTGCTTTTGCTTTCGCACTGAAACACACAGCGTCTCCCTGACATGGCTGTTTCAACACTAACTGCGGTTACTGAAACCACGCGTTCTTTCTTTGCGTGAACATTTGGGTGGCATTATGCAAATATTTCCATATAGTGTGGTAGATATGTGGGGGCGTGTTAGAATGAGCCGTTTTAGGGGGGCGTGGCAGAGTCTTAACTTTGATAAAGAATATCTCTTTGGTTTTGAGACTTTAGTCTTTGCAACTTCAGGGATCTTATCTATGCACAATCAGCTTGTAACACTCCAAAGAGAAAGGAAAACTTGAAATCGCATCATATGACCCCTTTAAGGGTCCCATATATTACTGTTCCTGCATCCCAATCGATACTTAATATAAGCTAAAAGTACTGTATGTACTTTGCTGGTGATGGGAAAGTGCATACTTTTGAGTAAGAAATAAAACACTCTGCAGGTTTTGGGACAAACTCACTTGTTACACACTGTTTGCATTTAGGTTTGCAATTCATTATTGCTTAGCTTATTGGTTCGTACATTAAAAAGTGACGCAGCAGCATTCCTGACTTTTGAAAACATGAAAAGAGAACACCTTAAACTCATCTTTCATTGCGCAAGGAGTTGTGGGCAGTGTTAATAGTACTGCCTGCATACTTTTAGCATCCTATATTCAACGTACCATGATTTGAAACCCACTGCTTTTAATCTTGAATATCATCTAGGATGAATAGTATGCAAATTGAGATGTTCATGAGCTTTTGAACATAATTCCCCCATAAACTCTTACCGGAGGAGGCTGTTGAACTGTCTATGCGGTCTTATTTAAAGGACAAGCTTCCATCCTCAAAGGTCTCTGTCACGTTTGTGCGCTGTAAACACGAATGCACGCCATCTGTGTGAAAGTCAGGGCAGGCATCACTGTATTCTTTATGCAGTATGATTACGGCTGTAGTCACAATTACTTCTCTCATGATTAGAGCTAATAGAGGCTTCAGCGTGAAGAGTGATGGTAGAATTAGTTTAATTAGCATTGTTTTGGATATAATGGCTCCCCTGTGGCTGTGGGAGGGAGTGTTGTGTGTGTGTGTGTGGAGGTGTGTGTGTTTGTCTATGTTGCATGCATTTTAGGAAGACCAAAACTAAAGAAAATTTAGGGCTTCTTCTGTCAGGTTTCTCTACGAATAGAAGCTCACCCCTACGCACGCTGTCAGCCGGCAGAAACTATGGCACGCTCTGTGATTAAACACCTTCTGCTGGGGAGATTAACAGCAACTTGGATGCTGCTGGTGTTTACAGAGGGCATGACACAATTCAGGACACGTGAAAGCCGAGTAGATGTAGTCAATGGTCTAACAGAGCCATCTAGTGGCTGTGGGATCTAAGGGCACTAATGGAGCTCAAGGTTAGAGTGGTGGCAAAGAGGTAAACACACATTTTGTTTTTTTTCTGTCTTTCACGCAGCATGCAGCAGTGCCCCGATCAACATGAACGTCCAGCACATGAACAAGACGGCGCTTTTCGTTCGATGGTCCCGTCCGGAGATCACCTACGATCCACCCATCATCAGCTACCACATTTCCTACAGCTGGACCAGAAACGACGAGTCATATGAGGAGACGTACGTCAAAGGGAGTGATCAGAAACTGGTGAGGAATGTGTGTAATGGTCATCCATATAACAATATCTCACAATAATTCCTACGAATGATAAGGTATTTGTCTTATTTGTCTTATACTTAAAACTCAAATAGCATTCACGACACACTTAACTTCTGTAATGTGACATATTTCCAAGTTAAACTGGATATTTTTTGGGAAACAATAGTGGTGAGGGGTTGTGTTCGCTTTTGTGTTTTTATTGGTCATCTATACCCCAGTATCTCCCAGAAAATGATAAAATACGCCTCTTATACTTTAAAGACAGCATGAAATAGAATACGAAACATTTTTTACATCCATAATGTGACACATTTCCTGGTTAAACTGGTAACAGTTTAGATTAGGGAACACTATTCACTTATTCACTATTAACTAGTTGCTTATTAATATAATGTCTTATTCTGCATGACCATATTCTAGATCCCTTAACTCTACCCAGTACCTAAACATAACTACTGTACTACAACGACGACCTTACTTTCTATCAATAAGCAGCACATTAGGAGTTTATTGAGGGAAAAACTTTTAGTTAATAGTGAATACAGTATGTGTTCCCTAAAGTGTTTCTGTTAAACTGAATATTCAATGGGAAACAATATTGGTGAGGGGTTGTGTGTGCTTTTTGTGTTTTACTGATAATCTTTACCAAAATATCTCACAGTAAACCCAATAGATGATTAAATATGTGTCTTTAAAGACAGCATTAAATGTCATTTGCATCACACTGAACATTCATAAAGTGGGTTATGAAATTTATAAACTGAATATTCATTGGAAGACATTATCGTGTTTGTTGGTCATCTATACCTATATCATCTATATAAAAATGATAAAATATCCCTGTTATACTTAAAAGACAGCATGAAATAGCATATGCAGCATGTTTAACTTCCATAATGTCACATAATTCCTAGTTAAACCGATTTTATCCTTTCACACACACACACACGTATGTATGTGTATGTGTGTGTGTGTATATATATATATAAAATAGCCTACATTTTGAATTGTTCTTGTTTTTAAGCAATAAGCATTTCACATTTCAGATTTGTGCAGCCTGTTCTTGGAAAACAAACTGGCATGTGAGGATGTTGTTATCATGTCTGTAAACCCCTAGCTCATGGATAATATCCTGTAATCTCTCCTCCGCTAGAGTCTCAGATCCATGTTTGCAGAAGCGCAGTGAGTGTGACTGTGAATAAAGACCGTATTTTAGGTCGTCAGCAGGGGGCCGCAGCGGTAGACACTGACCTTGGGGCCCACCATTTGAAAATACTAATGCACTAAAACTGTTTAAGAGGTGGAGATGTATTTTACACCCATTTCTCTTGACTTTCCATCGAGCACACTCTGTGGGGTGTGAAATTTATAACAGGCTGAGATTTCCGATTCTCTAGTCCATAGGGGGTTGTGAGGCGACAGAACAGTACAAAGAAATGAAGTCATTATTGTTCATTTTGTTCCCATACATTCCAGTGTGCAGTTTTTGAAAATGACATGGCATCCCATCTCGGAATATCATCAGATCCGCCCCATTCCCTCCTTTCTCTTTTTATTTCTTATTCCTCCCTTCTTCCTTTCTTTTAAGTTCTTCATTTCCATTTTTATTTCCTCTCTCGTCCCAAGACGCTGCTATCTGGGTCAAATTAGCAACCGACTCTATTTTAGAGGGACTGCTTACCAGATCAATAGAGAGGGAGTTTTTACTCCTTTTCATTTATAATAACCCAACACCACAGAGTCATATTTGAGTTGGGGTCTTCTACAGAATGAAATAGAGTCAAACTCGCATAAATCAGAAAGGTGTTGGAGTGGAGAGGAACTGACGCCATTTACTTAGCGTAAGTAAATGGCCTCAAGAATCACGGCACTTTTCAGCAGACCCCGGAGAGGTGAAGTGAGTTATGATAATGGCTATTGCTCATACACTTAGAATTGTATTGAGTCTTCATTTCTCAGAGACGAAATCAGGCTGCCTGAGTGAGGTTCAGACAGAGACCATTGAGACAAGCAAGCAGCAATGAAGGAAATGTTGTTAAAAAGTGCCCATATCTGACCATCAAAGTAGATTTGTTAATCAAGTGTGTTGCTAGAGGCCTAATTTAATATGCACTACCCTTTATGTGTTCTTTTTTTATTAGTATCAGCTACCAGTAAAAGTATTGTACTCTGTAGTACGCTCCTTTGAACACATTTTAAAATATTGAAAAAAAAATTATTTAGCGCAGTAGGCACCCACAAACAAACACTCATAAGCACCTTACGCCCTACAAACCACCCACTAGCACATCATGGAGATGTTTAGCCCAGCCATGCACTATTCACATTAATGTTGAAATCTAATTTGATAATGCATATTTGAAAAGCAACATTCTGCAGATTTATGCAGAAAAAAAGTGATTTTATAGGGCCCAGCCTATGCTCTAAAATATAGTCTTGATTCGCAGTCAAACTCACTACATTTCAGTGAAGGAGCTGCTTATTATCTCATCCTTTATTATTCATATTTATTTAAGATTAAGTACTGTATTCACTTCTGTTGAAAATGTTCTTATGTCGTCTCTTTTGCTCACCAAAGCTGCATGGATTTGTTAAAAAAAAACATACAATAAAAACAGTAATATTCTGAAATGTTATTCCAATTTCAAATAACTTTTTTTTTCTATTTTAATATGTAACTTATATGCAATTTATGTAGGTAACTTTTGTGTTTTGACTGGAAGCTTCAGATGCTAACCCTTCCAGACTGACTTTTCAGAGGCGTATCTGTCCGTGACGTATCGTACGTTCACTGTATATGTAACATTGTGTGTGTGTTTCAGGAGGCCGTCATCGCACCGGTGTCGTCGGATGTGCTGTACCTGTTCCGCGTCCAGGCAGTGTGTTTGAATGACAAGCGCAGTGACTTCAGCCAGAGCATGCTCTTCAGAGGTACAGGGCTACACCTGAACACAGACAAGGCTTTAATGAATGCTAGGTTAGGTGTGGCTTTTAAAAGTGCTGCCTCTCACTCATATTTGTCTTCTTTGTTATGGTAGCCAACACCACCAGGATATTTGAAGGCACAAGAATAGTCAAAACTGGGATGGTAAGTTTACATATGTCCAGCAGGTGGCAGCACAGTCTCTTTGCATATAAAATATACCTGTATATTAGGTTTTTTTTTTTCTTATATAATAATGTAAATGTATTTATTACAAAGATTAATTTTAATAATAATATAAAAAGTACATTGATTATAAATATATTATTATTATTATTATTATACTCTAATGTACTCAAGATGTAAGAAACTGATGTCATTACTTTTTACTTGATGGTTACGCCACTTGACATTTTTACTTGGAATGAGAAACCTAAGTCATATCCAGAGACCATAATATCATAGAGCCCTGCATGTGGACTCTTTTGTCTTTGCCCAGCCTTTCGTACCACCCTAGCAACTGCATAGCAACCTTTCATATCACTCTAACATTGTGTTGGCAAGTTTTGCATGTGCAGCAGCACTCATCTTTTCAGCAGGAAACGTTAGACTCGTTTTCTTCTCAATAAACATTCAGTTCTTATGTGTTGTGTGGTCCTGTTTGCATCCCGTGTGCAACAACTGAGAAACCTAAGTCATATCCAGAGACCATAATATCATAGAGCCCTGCATGTGGACTCTTTTGTCTTTGCCCAGCCTTTCGTACCACCCTAGCAACTGCATAGCAACCTTTCATATCACTCTAACATTGTGTTGGCAAGTTTTGCATGTGCAGCAGCACTCATCTTTTCAGCAGGAAACGTTAGACTCGTTTTCTTCTCAATAAACATTCAGTTCTTGTGTTTTGTGGTCCTGTTTGCATCCCGTGTGCAACAACGATGGTTTCATTTCCTTCTCTCACTCTCATTTATTTGTCCTTTATTTACCATCTTCCTTCGTTTCTCTTTGTCTCTCCCTCTTCCTCTTCCTCTTCCTCATCTCCTCTCTTCTCATCCTTCCGTCTTGCTTTCCGTCCCCTCTATTTGTTTCGGAGGCAGAGGGTTGGCCTAGTTTTCCGGTCCAGAGAGGATGAGAGCAGAAAACATTTTCAGCTGCAGGGAGTTAAAAAAAAAACAAGAAAGAAACAGAAAAACTCCATATTTAGCTCTATGGCACTGGAGTTATGTTCATCCAGTGTGTGTGTGTGTGTGTGTGTTTGTGTGTGTGTGTGTGTGTGAGAGTGCTGTTCCTTGCGTGACTGCGGGTCTGTGTCTGACCGTGCTGAGGCTGTAGCAGCATGGATTAGTTAGTAGCATGCTGTCCTGGACCACCCGAGGGGGGCTGCAGGTTTCTAATCGCTCTGTTCTTATGTTCGGGATCTGAGTCTGTGGTTTCCGCTGACAATTTGGGACACTGGTATGTGTGTGTGTGTGTGTGTGTTAGCTGTAGACTGGTAGGGTGACCGTGATCTTGCCAAGTGGGATGTGTTCCTGAATCAACATTCTCGTTAGTCCTGGAACAGCATTCCTATCAACCAATCAGGTTTTAGGGGAAGGAGTCAGAGTTCAGCTTAGGACTAGGCAATTCTCTCTGGACTTAAAGGGTGCTTTATTGTCAGGATCAGGACAACCTTTCACTGGAATGTTCTAGGGCAAACAAAACAAATTAATCTAGAAACACATTTTACTTGGCAAAATAGTGGTAACCAGAACTATATTTGACAATAATTTTAAGTATTTTTGCATTAACCACTTATTTTGAATGTTGAGTAAATGTTGTGTAAAATAAATGTCTATTTCAGCTATTTTTGGATCTAATTAAATTGAATATTGTTATATTTTGAATAATGTAATGTAATTTTATTATTAAGTTACTGCAACTGTATGTAATAATAATAATAGTAATAATAATAATCATAATAATGTTGATATTGTTATAATTCATGTATTTTATAATTCATTTATTTTGAATGTTTTAGAAACATTATTTTGAATGCTGAATAAATATTGTGTAAAATAAATATTTTTGTATTATTTATTTCAGCAATTACACTACATATTATTGTATTATAATTTAATAATGTCGTTTTTTTAATTACCGCAATTGTATTAATAATATTATTATATTTATTGTTTTTGCTATTATTATTAATAATAATAAATAATAATTAGTAGTAGTAGAAGTAGTAGTAATATTGTTATTATTGATATTAAGTAATGCATTTTTGCATTTATTTTAAATGTTTTATAAGCATTTTGAATGTTAAGTAAATATTGTGTAAAAATAAATGTTTATTGCATTTTAGCCATTTCTTAATCTAAAGTATTATATTTTGAATAATTTAATAATGTAATTTATTATTAAATTATTCCAAATTTAAATAATAATACATGTTGTTACTAATAATAATAGGTATTAATAATAATAATTCATGTTGATATTGTTATAATTAATGTAAGTACTTTTGCATTTATTTTGAATGTTTTATAAACATTATTTTGAATTTTAAGTACATTTTGTGTAAAACAAATGTTTATTGCATTTGCGCAATTTCTTAATCTAAATTATTATATTTTGAATAATTTAGTAATGTACTTTATTATTAAGTTATTGAAAGCTTAATAATAATAATAAATGTTATTAATAATAATAGGTAATAGATAATAATAATTAACGTTTATATTGTTATAATTAATTTAATTACTTTTGCGTTTGTTTTGAATGTTTTATAAACATTATTTAGAATTTTGTGAATTTTTATTTTTAATTTTGTGTAAAATAAATGTTTTGAGTTGAATTTCAGCAATTTGTTAATCTAATTAAACTGAATATTATATTGTGAAAAATTGAATAATGTAATTTTATGAAATTACTGCAAGTGTTATTGCTAAGAATAAATATTGGTGATGATAGTAATAATAATTGTAGGCGAAATAGATTTTGAAACACAGCTTCTGTTTGATATTTGTACGGTGTGTTGATAGTTATGTGTGTGTGTGTGCATGTGTGTGTGTGTGTGTGTGTGTGTGTGTGCGTGTGCGGAGTGGATTATTCCTCTGGTGGTGGTGTCGGCGCTCACCTTCCTCTGCCTCATTCTGCTGCTGGCCGTGCTCGTTTACTGGAGGTGAGACACTCATCCACACTGACGCTTTCAGACTCAATGAATCTCTGACAAACTGACTGACTGCTGGAGTCACACTGACTCTCCGGATGAATCACTGATTTCCTGAGCCACCGTGACTGATTATTTGATTGAATCACGGGGAGTCACACAGACGGATGGCTTTACCCTGATGTGACTCTCTTAAACACTTCATCTGGTTTATTGCGTTAGAGTTTGGCTGACATGTGTATGTTGGTGTAGCTCTGTGTGTGTTTGTGTCTGTTTGGATTCTGTAGCTAGTAGTTTATCACTCTGGGGCCCCTGGCATCCCCTGGGCCCCGAGGGCTGGAATTAAAAGCAGTTAGGTGTGTGTGTGGAGCATGTATAAAGTGTGGGTGATGTGTCTCTTGTGACGGTAAGTAAGATAGAGAGAGAGGCCGTACGCTTCCCTTAGGGCACCTCCGAAGCCATTGAGGTGCTATAGAAATGGCTCTCGGGGCCCAGTTTCCATGGTCACACCCCAGACTGAGTGAATGTGGCTTCAAACAATATATATGTGTGTGTGTATTATAGTGTGTAAACTACCATTCAAGTGTTTGGAGTTGATAAGATTTTTTAATGTTTTGAAAGATATCTCTGAAGCACACCAAGACTGTATTTATTTAATCAAAAATACAGTAAAATAGTAATATTGTGAAATATTATTATTGTTTAAAATAGCTATTTTCTAATTCATTGTATTTTTAAATGTAATTTATTCTTGTGATGCAAAGCTGAATTTTCAGCATCATTACTCCAGTCTTCAGTGTCACATGATATATATACAGTATATATATATATATATATATAAAAAGCGACTTACAGTGCATTCAGGCTATACATTTTTTACCAGTGTGTATATATATATATTGTAACCTGTGATTCTTTTTTTAGGATTCTTTGATTAATCAAATGTTCAAAAGGACAGTATTTATTCTAAATAGGAATCTTTTGTAACAATATAAATCTTTGCGGTCACTTTTTGTCAATTACAATAACATATACATGTTTTATCAATATATATGTTACACCCCATTGGACTTTTGTTCTGTTTTCATCCCTCATGTGCTCTGTGTTTCCCTCATGTATGATTGTGTCATTTAGTTCAGGTGTGTGTCATTAATTATCTTCATTTGCTCCCGTATTTAAAGTGTAGTCTGTCCTGTCTTCCATTTTCCGGTATTGTTTAATGTTACCCTGTGTGTTAGACCCTCTTCATCGTGTGGATTACCATTAAAAGGATTTGTTGTTATAATCTTCGTCGTGCCTTCGTCTCCATAACAACAGTATCGTGACAATATACAGTCAAACCAAAAAATATTCAGACACACAATTAAAATATAATTTTTTATATTTTTTACTAGTGGGTGCAGGACACTATAGTTCATTTATGTGATAAGTGAGAATAGCAAAATAAAGTAATTTGTGACATATTATACCCAAAAAGTCTTCATAAAGTGGACTACCAGTAAAATTGATAAAAAAAAAAAAAATTGGGACCAAAAATTGGATTTGACACTTTGACCTGACCATGTTTTGTTACATATCTTTCTATCAAAGTTATCTGACATTATCAAGATGAATTTGTATTGACACAGTTTAACTATAGCGAATAAACTGTGATAATGTGAGAGATTTTGAAGGTGTCTGAATAAATGTAATATGAATTATCAATTAATTTAATAAACATTAAAAATCTTACTGATCCCAAATTTTGAACGGCAGTATAGTTGAACGTGTGTTTGTGTTTGTCCGTTTGCACTAATATGCCTCTCTGGATATGTTCCCCTCTCTAGTGGCCAGCTGATAAAGTCTCTCAGGGGTTTTGATCACACGATGTCTCGGTTTAGCAAACAGCTCTGGAGCAGGCCTGTGCCAGGACTGTCTCCCCAGGTCTGGGCTCTCCGCCCTGGGCCAAAAACGGCCATCTGCTCCCTCCTCTGGAGCTCAAGGGCCATGCAGTAGCAGGGGGTCGTGAAATATTTTGAGCTGTGTAACTGCCGCCAAATCCTCTACTGCTTGATAACACACACATCCACGCAAACACACTTGACCAGGCACAAAACCTCTCCAGAGAGAACATACATCTGTCATAGCATTCATAGTCATGGTGAAGATGACTATAATTAACATACACACAAAAAAATGAGACATAAACTATTATTTGATGCTGTTTCTAGTTGATCAAATGCTAAGAATATTGGGAAATGCTTTGTGAATCTGCTGGGCATTAAAACATTCTGTAACATTCAGTCATTAATATGTGTGTGTGTGTGTGTGTGTGTGTGTGTGTGAGAGAGGGTCTTTAAGTGTAATCTGTTCAGTAGACTGACTGAGATTACCCTCAGCACTACACGCTAATGTCTAAGTCTATCAGATCAGATGTCCTTACCTTCTGTCACTGTGTGTGTGTGTGTGTGGCATGTGTGTACATGCACATGCATTTATGTATATCTCACCATATGTTTACACCAGCATACAAATGAATGTCATTCTTACATGTGCATGTGGAAACTATAGAGATGACGATTTATTTTTTGTAAATAAAAAAAAAACATTTAATGAATTAATTACAGTCTGAGCCTTAGAATGAATTATAATTATCAATATTTGATGAGAATAATCAAATATAATCAAGATAATTTAAGATATCATTGTGGCAGATGAGTAAATCATTGAATAGACATGATAGACAAAAATAAAATTGCTGTATTTTGCACTTGGGTTTTGATGTATGTTGTTATTGTCATCTAAAACGATTAAAAATCAGTGTCATTATTTGAAATAAAGCTGAAATGAAGCACTAAAACTAAAATAAAATAAAGCTAAATAGAAGTGTATTATCATTATTATTAACAAAAAATTAAATGACAAAAAGCACATAACAACATAACTGAAATTTTCAGCTGAAATAACTTAAAAAGCCATTTCAAAATATTAAAAAATAGTATTTAAATAATACTAAAAAGTAATAGTATACAAACATTTTTAATGATATAATTTTATGTATTTTAGATTAAGCATATTCAATTGAGCACCCTAGTGGAAACACCCTAGTGTGTCTGTAATTTTTTTTCTACTCTAGTGTGTCTGAAGTCCACCTGGAAACATTAACTAGGATGTGTCACTTCCTGTGGCCGTGTCAGGGGAAAGTCAAATAATCATTTACACTTGAAAAGGAATTTCTCAACAAGTACTTTTGAAAGTACCTTAAAAAAAATCCTTAAAACAAGATAGATTTATATGCAATATATCTTGAATTATTTGTATTTGTCTTACCCCATTGGCAATTTGTTTTCTTGTTTTGTCCTTAAATTATTTGTGTAAAACAAAAACAATGGGTTAAGAAAGATTGGTCATAAATATGTTCATAATATATTGAATAGATTCACTACCAAAATCAGTGAATCTATTGCATTCCAATTACAAATGGACTAAACCCATTATGTGTGCTATGTAGTTTAGTAGGAGTTGTGTTGATATCTTAGCAACATGCTAAAGTCAGGCTCTTTTGAAGTCAGATGTGTGTTGAGTTTCCCGTGCACTTTTATTTGTGTGCCAGATCTGTAAAGTTTTCTGGATTACACTGAAACGTTTTATACATTTTCCTCAGATCTATTGAATGATCAAAATCATTGTGTTAAACAATGCAATTGTTCTTTTGAAGCTGAATAAAAGCCCTTAGCATAATGTCCAGTTGGACTGGTTAAAGTTGAGTGATAATTATCTATATAATAACTTCCTAAAGCATTTCCTGACCGCCCTGGCTCTGCTTTTGTTCTACAGATCAGACCTGTTGAGCATGTAGGTTCGCAGTGCCTGCAGGAAGAGTTTCAATGATGCTCTTAAGCCAGGACTTTAGCTAAAGATTATTTACAGTGGAGATTTTGGCAGGAATGTCGAGCTCCATGAAGGACAAAAAAGTACTATAAATAAAATCCATAAGTCTTGTGAAGCCATGCAATACCTTTCTGTCAAGAACAGGCTGTTATTCAGTAAAAATGCTTCCCTAACGCCTTTCAGATCTCGTTCATGTTTGCATATTCAAATGTAACCAATCACAAAACACTCAATTTAAATAGCGCTAAGAAATTTGAGGTCTACAACAAAGGGTGGGATTTAAATATTGGTCTGTTTATCATAACAGGGTTATTACCAGGGTTATTATGTTAATTGAAATAAAGCTAAAATAAAATGTAAATATTAGATGAAAAACTTAAACTAAATGGAATATGAATGTGATAAATGAATGTGCTAAATGAATGTGTGAGCACCAAAATTATTAACTATAATAAAAAAAATTATTAAAAGTTGAATAAATAAAAATTAAACCTAAATAGTAATAATATAAAAAACTAATAAAAAAGGACAAAAAGAAAAAAATATAGTAAATAAATTATACTAAAATAATACCTCACACAAACTTATTGCATGGTTTCAGAAGACTTTGACTGCATGAGTTTTATTGACTAATATATATCTATATATATATATATATATTTCACAGCACTTAGAGGATTTTGCATCTGAACTCTTCATATATTTCCACTTCACAAATTTAAGTCAATAACAGAAATTTAGTCCAACTTTAATCCTTACTCTATTTTGATGCCGTTTGTTTCTGTTCGTTGCTTTGTTTCTTCATTCTTCATTCTCTTGGACAGAAGAATAGTTAAAAAGAGTTCAACACAAGAATGGAGTAGTTGGACACAAAGGAGTGTCCATCTGGAAGGGTGTGTGTGTGTGTGTCCAGAGGGAAAGGCAGCAGGTGTCTGTGATTTATCAGATCAGTTCTGGACTGATCTGGGATCAGTGAACTGTTCACGTCTGACCCCAGCAGATCTAGCGCCTGTGTAAAGCCCTGTGCATGTGATACACCAGGACCAGCCCTCTCTCCACCCCCTCTCTCTCTCGTTCTCTCATTGCTCGCTCACTGCTCTGTTTGCTCAGCGGCAGCATGCGGAGCCTACAGTCACTCACCTCTCCTAAAATCCCTCGTTCTTTGCAGGGATGAACAGCTTATGTTCTCTGCTGTGCATCAAGTACAGGTAGGACAGATGAGACTCCTGCTGGCTTATCGGGTTGACGTCCAAAACTTGGAGTTTTTGTAACTTTAGAACAACCTTTTAATCTCTCGCCGTCTTTCTCTTTCTGTTTGTTTCTATGGATTTTGTTTCTTACCTGCTTATCGCTTTTCTTGCAAAGTGAAAGAAAGAGGTAAAACCAGTTTACAGCTCTCAAACTGGAAACAACTGCCAATAATTCATCCTGACAGTCCGGGTTTCTTTAAGAGTTTGTTTACTTTGTAATTTGGTGTGTTATGTTCTAAATTGACTTCATGCAGACAGCTGATAGACGTTTTAGTTTAAAATGCATAGATAGAAAATGTTTCACATGGATTTTAGGAGTAAAAAAGTGTGTGGGTTTATATTTTGCAGGAAAAAAAATCGTACACAAAATCTAACAAAACCTCCTTTAGGGTGCATCAGAAAATGTCCTCAAAGGTAAATTATAATTATTTAAATTCATTATAATTATAATTATAAAATACTATTTTTTCTAATAATATAATGTTTTTTTCTAATTACAATTTTTAATTAAAACTTAATTATAATTTACATTAATTATAATTATCTTATCATTCACTCACTTAAATCACTCAGTTCCAAATCTCTATGACTTAATTTCTGATGTGGAACACAAAAGGAGAAGTTTAGCAGAATGTTCAAGCTGTTCCTTCTCTACAGAGGATGAGGACTAAGGAATGGACAAAAATGGCCCCATAAAACATCATAAAATTATGGATAAAAAAGAACTGTTTGGACAGTTTGCTATAAAATAACTACTTTTGTATTCCACAGAATACAAGTCACACTGGTTTGTAAACACATTTTTCCTTTTTTTTATTTTTATTTTTTTTTCGTATTGACGCTCTACAGAGTGCTTGAAGTGTAAGGCTGTAATCTCTGTTTGGAGTGTTCGATTTGCTCTTTGAAGAGAAGGTTCAAAGTTCATCTTGATCCTGTCATATGTACCCAGCAGCATGTGTGTTTACTCTGGTGGGGATTGTTACCTAAACCACGCCTCATGGAAACTCTAAAGCAGCACTGAACAGCCATTACATCACTTGACTGTCTCTGTTCCGCAGGAGGTGTTTCCAAACGGCTCATTTCTACGTCGAAGACAGTAACTCGCCCAGAGTTGTGCCCAATGAGAGTATCCCGGTCATCCCAATCCCAGGTAGGAGATTTCTAACAGATCTCAGATCAGTCAAACACTTACATACAGTATGACCTAAAGACACGCTTCACTCTGATCCAGTGTCAGGTGCGGAAGAAGTCATAGATAACAAGTGCTTTGATATGATCTAATGTCAATATAGTGATATGAAACATTGTATGCATGTGTCTTTCTTGCTTACTTTGCGTTATGGGTAAAAGGTTGGATTACATAAGATTTTTAGCCGTGCTAAGATTGAACAAAGTTTTGGCTGTCTTCTCAGCGTGTGTGTTTGTGTGGAATAGACTCTAACTCTGCACTCTCTACAGACTGTTATTCTGTGCTATTAGTGTAGAATCTAAAAATCCATTGCTGCATTGATTCTGACATGAAGTGGCTCTAATCAAGTTTTCAGCTTCTGGGAGACTGGGAGGAAAACAGCTGTGTTCACAAGCATGAGGTGCAGGGTGTAGCGCCACCTTTTGATTGATTCTTTTTTTTTCTCTTGTTGTTTCTTATATTGTGTTGTGCTTGCACTATTACTGTGTGGAACTCCTAGCCCTAAAGGCCTGGGTACACTTCATTTCCTGTGTTCCACTCCATCTTGTGCATAGCGTTGTCTGCACAGCTTTCAAAGTATACTTCACTGCGGATGAGCATGAACAGGCGAATTCAACACATGCGCAGTACCATATATCAGACTCATTTGGTCTCAGCATTCACTTCGTGTCTACCTTGTTATATGCAGACTGTCCACGCAGACACTTTTGATCACAAAAAGTATGTCACATGGACCATTGCGGAACTCAGATACTTTGGGCTTAAGTATTAGACTTCCTCCAACAACATGTGCTACAGGCATGAATAATATGTCAAATTCTACTACTTACTTTTCTAAATGATCAAACTTATAAAATGGGCAAAAAAAATCCCCTAGACTTACATTGAAGGAATAGCAACCACCCAGAACACCCTAGCAATGCCTGGCAACCAACAACAACACCCTATAAACCACCTAGCAACACCCTAGCACCCACCAACAACACCTGAGAACTACTTGGTTAGCAAAGCTCTAGCAACCACCTGGTAATGTCCTGAGACTACTACACAACACCCTATTAATCCCCTAGCAACTGTTTAGTAACACTACTCATAAAATTCCAGCAACCATCAAGCAAAGACCTAGCAATCATGCCCAACACCCCATAAAGCTTTGTCAGCCCCCAATATCACCCTTTTAATACCCTGACAAACTACCCACAGCACTCTATTAATGCTCTAGCAACCAATTAGCAATATCCTAACAAACCATTTAAAATAATTCAGCAACCACATCCTGAAAACCCCATCAGTACTCTGGCAACCAACCACAACACCCTATTAAATGCCCTAGCAATCACCTAGTAATGCCCCGACAACCGCCAACAACACCTAAGAAACTACATAGCTTACAGCATCCTGGAAGCCGTCTAGCGATGTCCTGACAACCACCTGCAACTACCCACAACATCCTAGGAACCTCTAGCAACCATTCAGAACTCTACAGGCAAGAACCACCAAGCAAAGACCTAGAAACATCCACAACACCCCATAAACACCCCAGCAACCCTCAACAACACCCATGCAACTGCCTGGCCAGCAAAGCCCTAGCAACCACCTAACAATATCCTAATAACCACCCACGACACCCAGGCAACTGTCTGGCTGGAAAAGCCATATAAACCACTTAGATATATCCTGGCAACCACTCAGAACATGCCAGCAACCACCACACAAAGACCTAGCAGCCATTCACAACACCCTAACAACCATCAACAACACCCAAGCAACTGCCTGGTTAGCAAAGCAGTGGTAACCACCTAGAAATATCCTGACAACCACATGAAACTACCCACAACCCCCTAGCAATGCCCCAACCACTTGAGCAACACTCTAGCAATAATATAGAGCAACACTCAGAACACTCCTGCAAGCACCACACAAAGACCTGGCAAGTATTATAATAATGTGTATTATAATAACAATAAATTTAGCATAATTACATGCAAGTAACCCTAAACCAAACCCCAATCCTATCCCTAACCATATAGTAAGTACATGTAGTTAATTAATATTACTCAGTACTTAAATGTATAGTTGCACTGTAACAAAGACACCTTAAATTAAAGTGTAACCCAATATCCTAATAACCACCCACGACACCCAGGCAACTGTCTGGCTAGCAACGCCCTGGAAACCACCTAGAAATATCCTGACAACCACATGAAACTCCCCACAACCCTCTAGCAATGCCCCCAACCACTTAGCAACACTCTAGCAACCACTCAGAACACTACTGCAACCACCACACAAAGACCTGGCAACCACGCATAACACTCTAACAACCATCAACACCACTCAAGCAACTGCCTGGCCATCAACGCCCTGGCAACCACCTAACAATATCCTAAAAACAAACCACGACACCCAGGCAACTGTCTGGCTATAAATGCCCTGGAAACCACCTAACAATGTCCTAACACCCAAACAGCTACCTGGCTAGCAACACCATGGCAACCACCTAACAACGTCCTAAAAACCACCCAAATCACCGAAGCAACTACTGGACTACCGACGCCTTGGCAACTACCTAGAAATATCCTCACAACCACCTGCAACTGCTCAAGACACCCTAGGAAACCCTAGCAACACCCTAGCAACCATTACTCAGTACTTAAATGTATAGTTGCACTGTAACAAAGACACCTTAAATTAAAGTGTAACCCAATATCCTAATAACCACCCACGACACCCAGGCAACTGTCTGGCTAGCAACGCCCTGGAAACCACCTAGAAATATCCTGACAACCACATGAAACTCCCCACAACCCTCTAGCAATGCCCCCAACCACTTAGCAACACTCTAGCAACCACTCAGAACACTACTGCAACCACCACACAAAGACCTGGCAACCACGCATAACACTCTAACAACCATCAACACCACTCAAGCAACTGCCTGGCCATCAACGCCCTGGCAACCACCTAACAATATCCTAAAAACAAACCACGACACCCAGGCAACTGTCTGGCTATAAATGCCCTGGAAACCACCTAACAATGTCCTAACACCCAAACAGCTACCTGGCTAGCAACACCATGGCAACCACCTAACAACGTCCTAAAAACCACCCAAATCACCGAAGCAACTACTGGACTACCGACGCCTTGGCAACTACCTAGAAATATCCTCACAACCACCTGCAACTGCTCAAGACACCCTAGGAAACCCTAGCAACACCCTAGCAACCACTCAGAACACTCAAGCAAAGCAACCAGTGGTGAAGAGTTAGTTTGGAATGGTGTTTCTGTTTTGTTAATAAGGTGATTTTCTGGAATGGCTGGCCATGTAATGTTTACTTTAAGCTGGATCTGATGAGTGTGCGCTACACTGAAGCGTTTGTTGAATATAGACACAGTAGTTGTTTGAGGAAATTTGGCCCTGTTAGGCCTGTTCAGGGTCTGTGCGGTTAACAGAGAAGACAAGTGCTGTTTATCTTGACCGTCCGCATGTACACACACACACTTTTACACGCATACACATTAGCCATTAAGATTAGAGCCAAGAAAATGGCTTCATCTGACTGGCCTGTATCTCACATTGGCTCGTTGCCGTTGTGTGTGTGGGTAAATCATTAGCGGAGAGCCTAGCGGAACAGAAGCGGACAGTGTGTGATTTTCAGGGTCTGAAGGTTTCAGGTCCGGGTTAGTCAGTATAGTGGAACCCAGATCTTAATGCAACAAGAGCAATTGATTTGCTCAGGCTTTTCCATAAGCACTTCATTGGAAGCAATTTTCATTGTTACACTGTGGCACGGCTCACAATAACGGTGGCACGGTGCCCTCAATCCAATTTGGGCATCTGTGTTCCAGCTTGGCGAGGGCTGGCCTCTGTATTTACAAAGATCCATTTAGTGTGGGCAGCAGCCTCTCTCTCCGCTGGCTGCGGCTCATATGGCGCTTCAAGTTCACTGTCCTTTCAAACATGGATGCTTTCCTGCTAAATAGGGCCTTTAGTTTCTGGCTCAATTTCCCAGTTAGTTTCTGGCATCCGTGGGTGCCAACATTTGTTTGTTAGCTGTATTCAGTTGTAGGCATTTTAGGATAAAGACAGAAGGTGCGTGGATCGCCTTTTATGAGTGTCAGAAGCTTTAGATAGTGTTGTGCTCGGGTCATGGAAATGTAAGTTGTTGTAAAAAATGTTTCATTTAATTATTATACACTACCGTTCAAAGAATTGGGGTCAGTGAGATATTTATATTTATTATTATCATAGAGATATGGATAGTGTTACAAAAGGTGTGTTTCAAATAAATGCTGTTCTTTTGAAATTTCATAAAAGAATCCTGGAGGAAATGCATTACAGGTGCATCTCAAAAAATTGTTGTGGAAAAGTTCATTTATTTCAGTAATTCAACTCAAATTGTGAAACTCGTGTATTAAATAAATTCAATGCACACAGACTGAAGTAGTTTAAGTCTTTGGTTCTTTTAATTGTGATGATTTTGGCTCACATTTAACAGACTTAAACTACTTCAGTCTGTGTGCATTGAATTTATTTCATACACGAGTTTCACAATTTGAGTTGAATTACTGAAATAAATGAACTTTTCCACGACATTCTAATTTATTGAGATGCACCTGTACATTTTCCACAAAAAAATATATATTTACATATATTATGCCGCACAACTGTTTTAAACAATGATAGTAAGTTAATAAGTTAAGATATAATTAGAGCATATTAGAATGATTTCTGAAGGATCATGTGACACTGAAGGTAATGGCTGCTGAAAATTCAGCTTTGCATCACAGGAATAAATTACATTTTAAAATAAATAAAAATAGAAATCTTAAATTATAAGAATATTTCACAATATTATTTTTACAGTATTTTTTAATAAATGCATCCTTGGTGAGCATAAGAGACTTTCTTCAAAAATTTAAAGATCTTACCAACTCCAAACTTTTGAATGGTAGTATATGTCATTATTATGAATACACAGTATTATATTATATTATATTATATTATATTATATTATATTATATTATATTATATTATATTATATTATATTATATTATATTATATTATATTATATTATATTATATTATATTATATTATATTATATTATATTATATTACAATAATTAAATAAGTTATTGAAGAAATAATTAGTAATTAGTAACCATACTTTTAGTAAATATATGTGACCCTGGACCACAAAACCAGCCATAAGGGTCTTTTTTTATTGAATATTTATATGACTAAATAACCTTTCCATTGATGTATGGTTTGTTAGGATAGGACAATATTTGGCCGAGATTCAACTATTTAAAAATCTGGAAACTGAGTATGCAAAAAATATATATTTGTAGCAATAGCCAAAAATACATTGTATGGGTCAAAATTATAGATTTTTCTTTTATGCAAAAAATCATTAAGATATTAAGTAAAGATCATGTTCCATGAAGATATTTTGTAAAGAAAAATCGAGAAAAGAAAAAAAAATTAAGAAGGAAAAAAATATTGCTATAAATATGCCCGTGCTAATTATTGTGGTCCAGGGTCACAGATATAGTTATTATATTTTAATTGTAATTGACACTTAAGACTGGTTTTGTGGTCCAGGGTCACATTAATTTGTGTATATTTAGCCTTAGCCAGATTTAAGTGACAGTTTCTGTGCTTATTGTGTGTCTGTCAGTTGGAGAGTGTGAATCTGGCCAGTCTTTATGTTCACCATGACTGAAGTTGAACCTTGATCCTTCATTCATCCTCTTAGACTCCTCATAGTCGACACATTGAACTGTTCATTATCTAATCAGCCAGTCAACCAATCAAAGCACAGTATCTACCGTTAAGAAGGATCACCGTACCAGCTCTGGAAAGACTTGTGTGCTACTTTTGCTGGTGTAAGGTGCCGTTTTGGATGTTTAATCAAAACTAAAATAATTATAAAACAGTAGTATTAATTACAGTAATAACTGTATTTATTTTTAAATTATTGTATTAATCCAAAATGAAATGTCACTGTTAAGGATTGCAGGTTTAAATATTGGAAAGTCAAAATTTTGTATATTTGTAAAAGGCTTACTATCATTGGCTCAGTGAGGGTGATGAGGGTCTATGCGTCTTCTTTGTGATCTTTCCTGTTTTATGGTTTTCTCAAGATAAGACAACAAAAGGGCGGATACATCTCTTTTTTTCTCTGTTTCAGATGATATGGAGGCCATCCCTGTTAAACAGTTTATCAAGCATGTATCAGAACTCTACTCCAACAACCAACACGGCTTCTCAGAAGAGTTTGAGGTAAGATCTTTCACACACACACACACACACACACACACTTTACAGGCGTATCCCGTCTCTAAGTCTTCCCTCTCAGCAAACTCCCTCAGACTTTTGTAAACACAGGTCCTGTCTCATGTGGTTCCCCCGGCCTCGCTGCAGTGGTTCTGTTGACAGGTTCTGGTGTCTGTCTGTGAACAGCTGGGCCGGGATCCCTCCACGGATGCTTGTTATTTCTGGCAGGTAGCCGTACAGGACAAGCCAGTTGAACTCAGCCTGTGTGATAATGAATTAGGCCATCTGAACGCTGTCTTTTTTCACACCGAGTTTTTTGGACTCTCTCTCATGTGTGTGTGTGTGTGATACAGAAGCCAGAAAACCACAACAACATTCTGTCAGATTAATGTGATGACAGTTTGTAGGAGGATGACTTGTAATTAACTATCCATTGGGTCTTGGGCCACAGCGTCTGCTTGTGCTGTCAGTGGCACAGCTGAATGTCAATGAATGATCTGAGATGTTTAGCCTGCAGGTCAGAGCTGCATGGACACACACATACGCTGGGTTTTATGTGTCCTCTGTGGAACAGGGTTCTGAAATGTTCAGACCTTTGGCTGTGCCAACATTACAGAATTTTTTCTTCGATTTTCGAGCTGTTATCAAGCGAAATGAGGGATCACTAAACAATATTACCCTTTATATATTTATTTATTTCCTTTTTTATTTGCCTGATTTGTTACCTTTTACATTTTATTTTACGCAAATAAAAATTGAACAAGGGTCAAAATTTAAGATTATATGGGGCAAAAATACCCCTGAAATATCTACATTTTTTATTTGTAGAATAATAAACTTATTCTACTTATATTTATATTTATAAAATTGTATTTTATGCAGGCCCTGCTAATTCCAAGTAGTTTTTAGTTCAAATAGTTTTTCAAGCCATTGTTGATAAATATGTAGACAACATGGAGCAGTATCTTATTACAAATAAATTAATCTTACAATAAAAACAATAAAAATGAAAACCGTTATATATTCAAAGACTCATTTTGGGAGTTTACTTGAATAAATTCAAATTAAATTAATATATAACAGCATATAATGGTAGGTATGGTAAATGTATTAATAATATAATATAATAATTCATCAAATATAATTTAATCATATTAATTTAATAAATAAATATAAAGTAAAAGTAAAAATATCATAAAAATTAATATTTTTGATTCATTCATTCTGATAGCCAGCTGCTCATTTTGGGTCAGTTCGCTTGAATAGTCATCCATTTATTTTTATTTTTTTTACACATTTTCTTTTTAAAATGTTTTAAATTTTTGATAACTTTCACCAGAAATACTATTTTAAAAGTATATTTAATTACAGTTTTTTTTTTTTTCAACTACTTACACAAAAAATCTTTACTTGTCACATGATTTATGAAACCTGACACTCAAACACCAGAACCACACACCAAATCTGCAAAACCATACGCTAATTCTCGCCCTTTGACTCAGTTTTAATTTCATAAAACACTTTTTTGCAAAAAACAACACACAATTCTCTATGTAACACACAAAAATCTGACAGGTATTAAAATGGCAAAGGTGTTTGCAAATGTTTGCTTTTGAGATGTGTTTGTGATGTTTTAAATGCAGTGCTTCATTTTGCAAGAGATGTGAAGTATTTTGCATTTTGTGTGTGCAATTATTGGATTTGTGTGTAAAGTTTTGAAAAAAAGAGGCAAAGTTTTGAAAATGTGACAAAAATCTGACGGGTATTAAAATGGCAAAGGTGTTTGCAAATGTTTGCTTTTGAGATGTGTTTGTGATGTTTTAAATGCAGTGCTTCATTTCGCAAGAGATGTGAAGTATTTTGCATTTTGTGTATGCAATTATTGGATTTGTGTGTAAAGTTTGGGGGAAAAAAAGAGGCAAAGTTTCTAATGACAGCATTGTTTTTGTTTTGTTTTTGCTGCAAATAAATTTTGAATGCATCCCATGTCTGTTGTGCATGTCGTGATGCAAAGGAAAATCTTTCAATTTAGTTTCAAAGTAGGTCTCCTACTTTCCCTCCTCCAGAGGAGAGAATGAGATGAGGATAGAAGGGGTGTGTGGGTCACTAAGGTTCTTCGGAGGGCCTCCCTTGGCCTCTTTGTTCCACAGTGGCTTGATTGGCACAGGGAAGTGCCTCTGAAAGTGTGTGTGTCTTGATGGACGTTGGGAAGTGGTTCCAAGGGGGGGGTTCTGGTGCTGTTTCCCTTCAATGGATTCCTCTGTGGTTCCTATCCCTTCACTCTCGCCTCCACTACTTGAGCAGAGAAAAAGAGGGAAGACAGCCGAGCCAATCCCCTTTTTGGACGGAGCCCTCCAGGCCCCTGACAAGTGGCTTTGTGCAGCATGGGCCGAAAAACAAAGCAGTGGCTGGGGTGGCAGCAATCATGGGAGCCAGGGAGAAGAGGAAGGCTATTGGCTAGGCCTGGACAGGCACAGGGATTATGTGCACCCCGGGAATGAGTTTTTTAGGGGGGAATAAAAAAAGCGACTGAAAGGGGAAAAAAGAAGAGGACACTTGGAGAAGTTTGCCATTCAGCTGAAAGCAAGAGAAGCGTGAATGGAGAACACCAGAGAGGAAGACAAATCAGAGTCTGAGAAGAGTAGTGGATGACAGGTTTATTTACTTTTTAAAGAAATAGTTCACCCAAAAATGAAAATTTGCTAAATATTTACTCACCCTTTTGAGATGTAGATTAGTTTGTTTTTTCCATCAGAACAGATTTGTAGAAATGTATATCATTCCATCACTTGCTCAGCAATGGATCCTCTGCAGTGAATGGGTGCCGTCAGAATGAGAGTCCAAACAGCTGATAAAAACATCACAATAATCCACAAGTAATCCACACCACTCCAGTCAATGAGCAGGACTCCAGTGTCTCGAGTCTTCTATCCATAACATTGCTTTTTCCAACGGGGACAACAGGGGATAAACTTTTCACTGCAGAAATAGTGGAATAAAGTTTGCAACATTATAGCAAACAACTAGCAATGTTTGGTTCTAAGAACATTCTCAAAACATTACCCAACCATACTTGTTTGTTTGTTTGTTTTGTTAGCCAGAAAAGTTTTCTTTGCATAAATGGAATGTTCTGTTTATGTTTGCAGCATTTTTCCCTAATAGGCTGAAAAATTGAAAAATTTAAGTAGAAATGACTGTACAACTGTTTTGATTATACCTTATATATACCTTATACCGATTTGATTGAACTTCAATTGAAGGCTTAAACTTAAGTTTTTAAGTTGAAATAGGTGGACATTTTTTTACAGTGTAACTAATAAAAATAAGCCAAGCACAATCGACCATCATATGGAGGATTAAGTTAATACAGTATGTAAGATTGAATTATGTAAGATTTCCTAGAGCATGTCTATATCACTCATATGTCTATATCACCACAATAACCTAGATTTTACTTTTCACAACCAAGTAAATTATTCCAAATAACAATCACTTTAACTTAATCTAGGGCTTTTAAAATGGCTTTTAAAATATGACATTGTATTTATAGATTTGTAGAAGAAATGAATAAAAATGTATGTACAAGATAACATTACGTACATTCTGTGACACTGAATTGTACAGTTTAACAGGAACATGCTTCTCTCCCCATTTGGTCAGTACAGTAAACAAAAATGTCTTAACATCATGTTCCTTTAGTTAAAGAGAAACATACGTCAAGATGCTCTCAAGAGTGCACTTGACTTTTAGCCTCCACATCCTGCTCATCCTCTTGATTTATTTCTTCACAGCATAATACTGTATGTCACATGTATTAGATAAGGAAATATTAACCTAAATTACAATTAAGCAAAACAATAGATAAAACCGAGAACAAATCATTCTAAAATCAATAGATATGCTGTTCAAAATTAATATAAAAAGTGTGTGTATTATATGTATTATATGTATGAAAAGGGTTTTTTTGTATGACACTAAATGAAAATGAAATTCACAATGTCTCATCTGTGTGTGTGTGTGTGTTGTAGGAAGTGCAGCGCTGCACAGCAGATATGAAGATCACATCAGAACACTCCAATCACCCTGACAACAAGCACAAAAACAGATACATCAACATCATAGCCTGTGAGTCTCACTTTATAAAATGCACAGTGGTCCAAAAATCTGAGACCACTTGCGAAAATGCTTCTGTTTTTATCATTTTTTAAATTGTAAATTATATGAGTATATGGATTTCATTTCAAATTTAAAGGGATAGTTCACCCTAAAATGAAAGTTCTGTCATTAATTACTCACTCTCATGTCGTTCCAAACCCGTAAGACCTTCGTTCATCTTCGGAACAAAAAATAAGATAGTTTTGATTAAGCTTTCTGACCCTGTAGACAACAAAGCAACTACCACGTTCAAGGCCCAGAAAGGTAAGGACATCGTTAAAATAGTCAGTGGTTCAACCTTAATGCTATGAAGCTACGAGAAAACTTTTTGTGCACAAAGAATACAAAAAGTAATGGCTTTATTCAACAATTTGAATTGTTTTTCTCCATGCTTTCACAAGAGTACCATGACGTAAAATTAAGGTTGAACCACTGATGTCACATGGACTATTTTAACAATGTCCTTACTACCTTTCTGGGTCTTGAACGTGGTAGTTGCTTTGCTGTCTATGCAGGGTCAGAAAGCTCTCAGATTTCATCCAAAATATCTTAATTTGAGTCGTGAAGATGAACAAAGGTCTTACAGGTTTGGAACGACACGAATTTTAATTTTTTGGTGAACTAATCCTTTAATTAAACATTTACATACAGTACTGTTCAGAAGTTTTGAGTTGGTCCTTTTTTTGTTTGAAAGAAATTAATCATTTTATTCATCAAGGATACATTAAATTGATTAAAAGTGACAGTAAAGACATTTATAATATTACAAAAGATTTCTATTTCAAATGCTGTTCTTTTGAACTTGTTATTAAAATAAAACCATGAAAAAGTGTGCTACAAAAATAATAAGAAACACAACTGTTTTCAACATTGATTATAATAAAAAGAAAAGTTTCTTGAGCAGCAAATCAGCATATTAGAATGATTTCTGAAGGCTCATGTAACACTGAAGAATAAAGTTGTGGATTTTTAAATAGAAAACAATTATTTTAAATTGTAATAATAAAAAATAGTTCACAATATTACAGATTTTTTTATTTATTTTGGTGCAAATTTCCAGAATTAGGTTTGTCCCCATTTGCTTTAATGACAGCAGCACTCAAGTTTATTCAACACCTGATGATCTTGTTATCTAACATGACATTAAAAAAAGGTTATGAAGCGTGAAGGCAATATTTTGTTTCCACATTGTTTCAAAATCTTTATATCTGCATGTGGTCTCAGAGGTTTTTACCCAACTGTAGCTCAGACTTCAGACATGAATCTCACTGGCTATCTCTTGTTCTTCCTCCAGATGACCACAGTCGAGTGAAGCTCAGGCCTCTGGCAGGAAAAGACTCCAAACACAGTGACTACATCAATGCCAACTATGTGGATGTGAGTGATGACTGCAGAACACACTTCTGTATACATAATGACTTGGCTGTATGTGATGTATATTTCTGTATCTCTCTCCTCTACAGGGCTACAATAAACCCAAGGCCTACGTCGCAGCTCAGGGTCCTCTCAAGTCCACATTCGAGGACTTCTGGCGGATGGTGTGGGAACAAAACACCGGCATTATAGTCATGATCACTAACCTGGTGGAGAAAGGCAGAGTGAGTTATAACGTCACAACCATTACAGTTTCAGAATCATAAAATAATCGTTTGTTTTATATGGCCTCTTTAAACGTTGTCCTCTTTTTGTGTGCGTCCTACAGAGAAAATGCGACCAATACTGGCCGACGGAGAACAGCGAGGAATATGGGAATATTGTGGTGACTCTGAAGAGAACCAAAGTAATGGCGTGCTACACACTCCGCATCTTCACTATCAGAAACACCAAAGTAAAGAAGGTAAACACCTTTTTTATTTCTCCTCTTACACTTCTGCTTCTCTATTGCTGCTGAATTAAACCAAAAGTACATCATTACAACACACAACAACACACTGTATGAAATTAACGCTACTGTGAAAAAGTAATAACATAAAGATCAGTTCAGTATAATTTAACATTTGGTTAAATTATGCAGGTTTAAATTCTCTTCGAAAATTAAATTACTCTGCAAACACTTTTCCCATCATTAAAATAGCCTAGGAAACTGGCATGGCATTAAAATGCCAACTAATGACCAACCACATTAAACCAATAAACACACAATGAAAATGGGTCGTTCAACAAAACAGGTGCCATTATATAACATTTATGTGTTAGAAATGACTTTAGCAATGAATAGCGGGTGCCAACCTTTATTATTTGTTAATATAGAATATTTTTGTAACACATTAACAAAAATCCAATAACTTTTTTTACATTTTCTTTCATTATTTTTCAACCATTTTTTGAAGTTCACCTTTATTTTTTCTGTATAATTTTAGATGTAGTATGTGTAGATTTTAGTTGACAAATATGTATTGTTAAAACTCTTCATGTATGTTTTGTTTTATTTGTCAGTAGAGTAGATCTTAAAAACAATGTATTTTTTAATTATTCAGGTTTTATAATTGAGACTGTTTTATAAAAACTTATTTTATCACCTCATCAAACTTGAAAAGGCACCCATTTCATAAAATGATCCACACTGTCATTGTGCATGGTTTGACCTGCTTTCCTTTACCTGGGAGAAGGATTGTGGCAGGGTTGAGCATTAAAAGCCAGAGGAAAAATCTTAAGAAGCTTATGCAAGGGCCTGGCCTTCACAGCGTCAGTGAGAGTGATCTGCTCTCTCCATAAAACTCTTTCATAATACATGGAGCCTTACCAAGGCCACTGGCAGCAAAGAAATAAGGGTCTTTTTTATAGCAGCCACGTAGATATGAGTTTAGATGCCACTTTTTTACAGAAATGAAAAATTCATGTATGGTAATGTATGGTAAAATAACATTTAAAAAATAGAAAGCTGACATGCTTCTGTACAGTACTATCACAAACCTGTGCTGTAAATTTGAATGCCAAGTGAGGGTTATGTGAAGATATTGGGATTGCTCATGTGTTCTTGTGTTTCTTCACCATGAGATACAATTGCATTTGAGTGTGTACTTTTTTTCAGAAAAAAACATCCTTGTTTCGCTCTACTTGTCAGGACCAGGGTTTCTGAAAATATCCTCAAATTTAGCAAAACAAAAGTCTTAAAATTGACTTGCTGGAGTATTATCACTAGTAAAAAAAAATACATGGGTTAAATACTGCAAATATATTAAGGCTCAGTAAATACGCAATCTTTGTCAATTTAGAATGAAGCCATGGTTAAGAAAGCCAGTCCCTGTAGTTTGTTTTGTTTTGTTTTGCTTTGTTTTGCTGTTTTGTTTTGTTTTGCTTTGCTTTTTGCTGTTTTGTTTTGCTGCTTTGTTTTGCTTTGTTTTGTTTTGTTTTGTTTTGCTTTACTTTAATTTGCTTTGTTTTTGTCAGACTCTGTCCCGTGTTTTGTGTGTGTTTTTCTGTGACCCAGTTTCTGTCTCCCGCGTATTCTGTTAATTTCATCCCAGGTGTTTCCCATGTTTAATTTCCTATGATTCCAGGTGTGTCTCCTTAGTCCCTCGTCATCCTGTGTTTAAAAGTCTGAGTCCTTTTAGTTAGTGTTGTCCGGTATTGTGCGCCGCCGTCCGCGGCTCCCCCAAGTCAGCCAGCAGTTCCCGAGTCGAGTCAGCCAGCAGTTCCCGAGCCGAGTCAGCCGGCAGTTCCCGAGTCGAGTCAGCCGGCAGTTCCCGAGTCGAGTCAGCCGGCATTGAATGTGGCAAGCCCAAAGGACGTTAATGTGGCAAGCCCAAAGGACGTTAATGTGGCTAGCCCACCAAGTGTTCATGTGGGCCCAGTGTCGGTTCCAGCCCCAGTGCCCGCTCCTCGTAAGTG